TAGAATACCATTATAACACGCTAGCATTATTAATAACGAAATTAGAAAAAAGGTATAATTCATGGACTTTTTCGATTAGTTCCAACTTTTACCGCTAGATGGAAGCCAATTTTTTAGTCCATGACATGGGCTATTTTTCTATTTTCTTTAATAATGATCCTAGCAGGCTATAATTATACTCGTTCGATTCCTTAGGCCACAAGGAACAAATTGTATATCTCAGAATTTCGGAAAAGTCCCTAGTTTTCGAGAAAATCGAAATTTTCTATTTTTGTAGTTCCAACTTTCGCCGCTAGATGGACGCCAATTTTTTAGTCCATGACATGGGCTATTTTTCTATTTTCTTTAATAATGATCCTAGCAGGCTATAATTATACTCGTTCGATTCCTTAGGCCACAAGGAACAAATTGTATATCTCAGAATTTCGGAAAAGTCCCTAGTTTTCGAGAAAATCGAAATTTTCTATTTTTGTAGTTCCAACTTTCGCCGCTAGATGGACGACAATTTTTTGGTCCATGAAATGGGCTATTTTTCTATTTTCTTTAATAATGGTCCTAGAAAGCTACAATAGGACTCATTCGATTCCTGAGGCCACAAGGAACAATTTGTATATCTCAGAATTTCGGAAAAGTCCCTAGTTCTCGAGAAAATAGAAATTTTAGTTTTTCGTAGTTCCGCCGCTCGCCGCTAGATGGCGCCACCTGTACCGTTTTCGACCGAATACGACAAAAATTCATTTTCTGGGTTTATTATGCATCAAAACGCATCAAACCCTAATAGAAATTTGTTTCTAAATGCCTCAGGTATCATACTACGTCGCCAAAGTGCCGAAATATTGCACTTTGCATGCGCAGTAAAATTGACATAGGCGGCTCATGTACGTATCGGAATGCTGACACAAAATAATTAATTACTCATTACCCGAACATTATTTATGAACTTTTATGATCGAACCATGTACATAATGCATTGCTGACCATTCTTCAATCATAAAAGTGCACAAAATATATCCACAAAATGTATATTTAATTATTCAATATGACCGCGTGTATACCGCTTCCTCATCCTAGCAATAAATGTTAATATTCTTTTATTTTATTTATCTAAATAAAACTTTATTTTTATATTATGTTTTCCTTAAATTTTTTAAAAATAATAGAGGCTGATTAGGGTACTCCATTTGATTGAAACCTGTACTTTACTTAGTTTAAAATTGCCGCGCATGTGCAGTATATACTTCGCGCATGCGCACAATGTCTCATCGCCGATACAGCAGGTGATTTTGGTAATAAATAAGTTTACAACACATATATAATTCTTGCAAAACATTCGCCTTTTTATTTCATATGTACATACGTGACACGCACGTTCGCGTTCAACTCGGTACAATTTGAAACGACGGTCAACAAACGATAACAAGATTCAAAATAAATGCATCTGGTTACATGCTTAATTAAAGGATTAATTTGAACGCGCGCGATGCCGCGTAAACGTTACGTTAGCAAAATGTCGCGGTAAAAGAAAAAGAGAACGCTTGGAAAACAATTAATACGTTCACGCGGATTCTTCGGAATTGAACGATCAGAATTTGATCGTCCATTTCCGAAATCTTTTCTATTATGGTAATAAACAATTCGAAAAACAAATGGATCGTACAAACAAGATGGAAGTATAGAGCGCTACAATTTACAATGATCCTTAATAGTACTATAAATCACACGGACATCGTTTCATCGGACAAGTACCAAACAGTGTATTTTCTTTCTCGTTTTCCTCGTAATCGCGCGTGTTGGTTGACTAGAACTTCGAATATCACGTCTTTAGAACTCTATTCAACGTTCTTGTCGAGTATAATAATAAAATGATCGAATAAAATCCTGAGATAAATCTGATATTCCATATTTTGATGCGTAACATTGTGGAAGATAATGTTTCTCTCTTTCTCTGGCTATACGCGTGTATAATACTTCTTCGCGACACGCATCTCCGGTTAGACTATCTAATTAACCCCTTGTTATACAATTTAATTAAAAATAATTTTCTCTATTTTCTGTTTCGCACCATCAATGCAACGGTCAAATAAAACGAGACATCATCTTATGATTCGTTAATTTCCGCCATTTTGCCGACTCACCGAGCCAGTCAAGAGACGCTATGAAGAGGTTAACAACGGCTATACAACGAGTTTGCTCTACAAATTTATCCGTGGTAATCTCGTTGAAGAGAAATCGTTAAAACATCTGTCACATGCGTAAGCGTTATTTTCATCGAACCTCTTTCTGTTACAGATTTCTTCGTCCACGATGCTTATCTTATCCTAGAACCGAATTATACAGTCGTCCCGTTCGTTAGCGTTTACAGTTATATACAAAGACACGCTCGAAATGGCTTTCAACGAACAGTCGACGAGCTTCGCCATTCAATCACATTCTCGACATTCGCGTTTCACGACGCTAGAAGCGTGACTCTTACAATGATACCATATCGATTAAGCGATGGCTATGTACAAAGATATTCCGCGATGCGTGACAACATACTTATGTCATAAGATAACGTTTATAGTACAAAGGGATTAACGGTAATGCTGGCTCTAACTATCACTCTGTATGATCAGAACGATCACGGAATATGTACAAGACGGTAGAAACGAAAGTGCGCAACGGGGTGCCTTTATATACAGGCTGTTCAAGACAAAGGTCGTGGCAAACTTATTGACAAATGAAAAATGATTAATAAACAGGACCCAGAAATATAACCAGACTGAAACTCATTCCTGAATCGTACACGCGTTTATCAAACATCTTTCGTTTAGTCTAACGAGTACCGTACATCTTTTGAATTTGGCACCACCTTTCTTCAAACACCCTGTACACTTATTTATAGTATGTATAGCAAATTCGATTGTGGAAGATAAAAAATAATTTCGTATTATTGCCATGTGTATTTACGACCGCAGGTTTTCTGAAATGTCTGGAACATTTATCGCGAAACATGTATAATTAATGCACACCATGAAATACGAATAACGATACTATTTATAGTCCTAGCTATTTCGTACACGCGTACGGACGATTCATGGCCGTTATCTGTACAAAATATATTTTAAATAACGAATAGAGTGAAGCCATAAAAATAGAGGAATATATGTATATGTATATATATATATGTATATATGATTTCTAATGCATCATGAATTACATCTCTAGTTACAGCGTTACGATAGCTGAATTTTTGTTCCTTTACACCTATTAATAATTAAAGGACCATTTAAATAAATGATCTTAATGTATATGGTGAAAATAAAATACGTGAAGCTAAATCTGAGTCGGTAACTCGGTCTGTTGGTAACACGGATTAAGCTCGAATTTAATGTACTAGTATGAATACTTATAATACTTCTTTCCTTTATAAAATAAAATTTACAAGTAACTTTAACAAATCTACTTACTATGAAAGCAACTTATAACAATGCAAACAAGAACTCAATACAAAAAACAATGAGTGCGTTAATTGTCTACCTTAATATAGTCAGTTGCTTTATCACAATAAAGAATATATATTAGTATCCGTTATCCTCGCACTATCTTTTATGCAAAATAAATTGAATCGAGTGTATGTGTATGTATGATATACATGTATATATACATATATATATATAGAGAGAGACAAAGGTGCTCATGCACGTGACCGCCTCTGAAAATTCCTTTTTTTCAAATGATACAAACAATTGGACTAAAAAATAATGTTTCTCTCTTTGAAGATGAAACTAGTTCGGCATCGTAGAAAATATTTGTACACAGAAACAAAAGGAATCTTTAGCTTTACATTTTACAGGCTTTCCGAGTGATCGGATTTCAATCACTGCTGGATCATAACGGTAAAAGATCGATCAAATTAGCACGGGGTTGTGTCAACGACTCGGGAAAGAATTCCGTCAACTTGTCGTACAGTTCGGTTCTTAAGGTGTGGATGTCGCGCGTGGTCGGACAATACAACGACGACGTATCCATATTAACTAAATTTCCTAATACGGCGTTCGGATTGTTCGAATTTGCGGCTTCTCCTAACAAGGAGTTTTGTTCTCTGAATAAAATAGACGTTAACAATTGAAACTGTAACGAAGAAATGCACAAATTTCAAAATGCGATATAAACCATGTGTATCCTTTGTTGACAAAAAAAAAAGGTACCTCTTTTGTTTGTTCCACGTCGTTATGGTCGATGATTTCCGATACTTTAGTTTGCAAGTATTCGAGAGCTTCGACGCTGTTGTTCAAAGCCAGTTCTTCAAACTTGTGCTTTCTGATCAGTAACTTGCACCGTTTCAGAATTTGTTCGTGAGACGGTCTGCACAATTTCAGTTGCCAAAAATCGTCGAGTCGTAAGTTGGGAAGACAAGCCCTTCCAGGATTTCCACCGAATAAAAAGTGGACCTAACGGAAAATTATTTGCAATTATTATGATAAGACAACTTTGTGAACACAGTACAAACCTTTTTAACATGATCATAAACCAACTGATGAGCGAATCGTGGACACGGTTCAAAATCTTGCATTTTACTCCAGTATTTTTCTCCGATGTTATCATTCCTGTAAATACAAGACCACCTGTTCTTCTTAATATTGTATACCCAGAAAGAATGTTGTACACTGTCGGATCTTTTAACTTGGTCTTTGCTTAAACCCTAAATAATTGAGTAAATTATTTGATGTATTTTTGATAGTTTGATAGTACAAATTTAAAGAGACAAACCGATAAAACATATATTTCTCCCAGCTCAGGATCAATTGTCGCTCTCTGCGTGAAACCAGCCATTGGAACGTGATTCGAGTCTTTCGCACCAAAATCGTTGAAGATGTGTTCGATATGGTTCGTGTCGACTTCGTACGTGAAGAAATCACTGAGATCTTCTTTACCCCTTTGACCTGTTAGAATATATAGTTTTCGCGATCCCTAAAAAAGAACGTACAACTTCAAGTTATACGTAACTATATTAATTTTTCGAATACGTACCGAATGGAACAACATAGAATGTCCGGCTCTAGACGTAACCGCTGGTACATTAGGAGGACACGGTCTGGCACTATCACAGGCAAGTCTGGTCCAGGTGCCGGTTGGTATGTGATAAGAATACAGGCCAGAAAAAACTGGTTCGGTGGAACTAGACATCATACCATGTTCTTCAGAACTGTAAGTTACGTAGTAGACGAATGTTTTAAAACACTGGTCTATATAATAGTGTTGGTAGACTTACTTCGTTGTAGAAACTAAAATCCGACCACCGAAGACATAAATTGTTCGTTTTTCAACATCCATAGACATTTGGTGATCAAAAATTAATTGAGGCCCTCCCACGGCTCCTGTGTCTTCAGATATTTGTGTCCATTTGTTGGATTCGATATCATACACGTAAAAGTCGCTCTTTAAATTTTCTGGCACTCTACACTGTGCATCCAAATATCTACCAAGTGTAAAAAGTTGTCTACGTTCCGGATCAAGGCACATTTTGTGACAAGATCTTGCACTCGGACCACCCTACAATTTGATGTTTAAATTTTCTATCAAAAGATACGTGGATCCTTCTTCGAAAACTCACCACAGCTTCTGTATCCTTACATATAATGGTCCACTTATTAGTAGCTATACTATAAGACCACAAATCTGAAAGATCTTGATTTCCATCCCAACCCCCAAACAAATATATAAGTTCTGCAGACGAGTCAAACACCATTTGATGACCCCCTCTCATTCCTGGCTTCATATCGCTGCAGGATAATTTAGTCCAAACTGCTCTATAAGTCTGAGCATTGATGTAGTCATTTAAAAGACCCACTATATATCACAAGTGATATATTAATTACATTACCTCTCAATTTACATTAAATATTACCAGAAATTAAATAAAAAGAACATACTCATTACAGCATTACTTATGTAGCACTCAGCTTGCGAATGATCACCCTTTGTAACTAATAAATCATATAACCCTGTCAATCTAGAATCTTCCAATGGAACACCAGTAACTCTTTGTAAAGTCTCTACAATTTCTGGTTGTTCCAGTTTCCTAAAGTGTTTCATACACAACCTTATCACTTCTTTTTGGCGATACTGAAATATGTTTTTATGGTAAATAAGAAGATATAATTTATTGTTATCTATAACAAATTCATGCGTACAAATATCAGTATGCATTACAGTTAGAAATATGTTTTTGTATATTTACCGCGTTGAGCCACTCTATACTGGGCCTCACAATTTTATAATCATCAGTGCCAGTTAATCGTACATGCCAGATAGAGAAATTAAAACTAGGGCCCCACGATTGTAATGGGAGAATCTTTATATACCTAACTGGAAAGTAATTTTCCTCATTTCCTAGTACGTGTTTTAAGTCAAACGTTTCTGGTATAGAATCATTTTTTAGACCACTAAAAAAGATAATCAGTTTTTAGCATAAATATATATTCGCTCAAAGCATAAACTTTGTACTCACCTTTCTAAAAGTTCCATCATATTTTCTGGTTCTAAACCACCGTATACTTTAAACTTTTTTATGTTACATACATGTGTTTTTTCATATTTGCCAAATGTAATTTTTTTCACGATCGAAGGACATTGTAATTTTAATATAAGAAACTGAAAAATTAGGACTTCCATCGTATACATTTGTCTTTGGAAAAAAATTTAAACGAGACAAAATGATAAATTTATTACGCGTTAATCGAAGATTCATAATTCGAATCACTTTAAAAACTCGTTAAAAATTTTATTCGAATTTATACGCGTAAACCGAATTATTTTCAAACAATGTTTACCTGCGGGTGATTGTCAATATCAGAAGACCAGCGCGACGTTTGATCCGATGGTTTATCTACAAGGATATTTCTAAAAAGTAAAAGAGCAAATATTAACTTAACATTTTTCACGAAATCCGGCGTGATCGGTTCAATTATTTATCGCATAATTTCATATATAGAGTGCCTTGTTTCTCGTCATAACCGTTAGATTAGGTTAGAGAATCGTTATCTGGTAACAACAATTATCCCGTTTGTAATTACAATATTTCTATTTACAAGAAAATTGTTTAACTATTCGTAAACGCTTACTCTGGCACGTACGACGAAGAAAAGCTGGAGCACTTGTAAATTTTAAACTCCAAAACTTTCTGAAAATTGCTATTCTCGTTGGCCGCCATGTTACACAAATGACATAAGCTTTAGCACTAAATGTGCGTGCCATTTTTATAGATACATAGCCTAGGGACGAGCGCCATGTGAAAACATGATCCGGTGAATACTATAGCGCCGAAGTAATTAAATATTAATCATCATAACGTCCAAGATAGCTTTAACTTAAATTTCTATTAAATTACAATTTTTGTACGTGTGTTGCTGTTCGTTAAATTCAAATTACGTATTCGTAATAAATGTATATAACGCTTCAGAATTTCCATTTATTTACACTAACGAATTCATAAATACATATCTATATATTCTATTCATTCCTATACATTCAATGTTTACGTAGCAGAGTGTCGACATTTATGTTGAATACAAAAAATATACACAATTTACAATTATAGGCCAAGGGCAAAAAAGTTACAACAAACAAAATATGTGTGTTGTGTGTACGCGTGCATATATTATATATATATGTATATACATATATATAGATGTACACACGCGTATATATGATGCATATAAGTCCGTTAAAGTAAATTAAATATATTCTTATAAATAATACACATTTGTTCACTGTAGTGTCGGTAGTCTTTCTACAAGATACTACCTAATTAATTGGCCCCTCCTGACAATATTACGTGTTTATTGCCTTATCCACGAAGATTTCTTAAACTGTTCTGTCCCTACCACGGAAACTAATATCGATCTCTCGGCGGGCAAGTGTTTCAAACGGTACTCGTCCTCCTGTTTATCGGACGGACATAATACGTTTTAAGCACTTAGTAATTAACAGCGAGTTCTGTTTTTAAACATTCACGTGATTACAATTTATGTACAATCAAGTATTATCGATTCAATTACGATTACTTAACATTCAGAATATTTAACTCAATTCGAAACCAGCACCAGCTTGAATCGCGTATAAAAGTTTTTCACGCAAAGTTTTCTCGTCTGGAAATTCAGGGAGCTTCAGTAGATTCATACAGGTACTGGAAGTTGGTAAACGGTCCTCACTGCCTGCGTGCTGAATGCAAAACGGTGGGTCGAGTTCCTGAAAAATGATCAAACATAAGAATCCAGTCAAGACCAGAAACTTAACACTTACCTTAAATCCAAGTAGAGGAGGTCGACTATAACTCGTTACAAATTTGAGCAATTGCCTTTTCTGCTGGTCATTGAATTCGTTGACGACCTTCCAGAAGGCAGTGATCGTAGGATGATCAGGAGTGTAGCCTCCCGCGTAGTTGGTATGCAATTTCAAGTCGTTCACGTCGACCGGAATCTGTGCACCCGATATCAGAACCTGCAGCTCCTTGTTATTGAACATTTGCAACCAATCCAAGGTGATCACGTTACCGATGCCTTGCTTGAAGGCGTAACACTGCGCTCTGATCTGCTTGTTCAATTTATAATCTGCCATCAAATGAATGTACTCGATCCGGTTATGGTTTGTCACAGGGATATTCGCTCCGTTCGGCTTCAGCTCGTCGGTTCGTCGTTCACCCAACTCGTCGGACAACACGGTGAAGTCCAGACCGAGGTCTGCGACGTCTCCTTTGTAGCTTTTCAAGTACAAAAGATTTCTATACATTATCGGGTCTAAGGAAGCTAAGTGGTGAACGTCGACATCCGACTGACGACCGACGATTTTCGACAGGAAAAACTCGGCGAACGGAAGTTCGACTAACAAATTCTCGTACAACGCTTTCCCAAGAATTCTACCGATAAAATAATAATGTTTCGGGAAATCGTCGACCAATAATTGTACCGTAGGGTTTGGGTACAGCATGTTATCCTTGGTGAGCCTGAAAAAGCCTCTGTTAGGGTCGAAGCTCGTTTTTAACAATTCCGATAAAAATTCTCTAAACAGACCACCACCGTCTACGCCAGCTTCTTCCAGTCCAGCTGTATTAACAAGCTGTACGCGCATTTTTAATCGTAATTCTGGTTCGTTTTCCGGGGACAGTTTTTCAAACGCGTCCTCATACAGATAGTTTCTTCTTACCGAGATTTGTATCGACGGCCCTTGCAAGAACTGCGTCAATTCACCCTGCTGTTCCGTTTTGTCGCGATAAATCAGCGACTGAAATTTAGCAACTCGATCGCTAAATGGCACAACAAAGGGTATCTCGCAGAGCAGCGTCAACGTTCGAACTTCCTTTACGGAAAGCGGTGATCTTTTCTCTAGTTCTTCTCGCGTGAACGATCGCAGCCCTTGGAAGGGGATATATCCTCTCAGTCTGCGTCTGCGAAACGTGAAATCTTGAGGTCTGTCGATTGGTATTACGATGTTCGACGCTATCCAGTGTCCTTCCGGGCAAAATTGTCTCCGCAAGTCTCGCGTGTGTAGTTGGCGAAGCAGACCAACCGTTACTTTGAACAGATGCGTCCACATTTGCGTATCCTGTTGACTCTGTATGGGGCACGATGGACCAAGAACGGCGTTCTTGTAATCGTCTCGTACGGTTGGTCGATTGTCGGGAAAAGCGAGCTCGACTAAACCCAGGCAGACGCCTTTTAAATGACTGGAGAGCAGCACCAGCTCCGAAGTTGTGAAGGGCATCGTTTGCTGTCCGTTTGTGTCTAACGCTTGGTCGGTTGCTTCAATAAAAAATTCTGTATCGTGTAACGTTGCGATAAGTAGACTAAATAGCGAACAAAATACAGCTAATAGCGGAACTATTTTCTTTGTGTCTTCGCTGGAAAGACTGATCCCTCGTGAAATAATCTGCAGAAGAGGCGTTGCTCCTCCAAACAATGATACTTGGCAAACTGATAGCAGCACAGTCCATAAATTTTTTAAGAACACAGGCTTAAAAGCGAGCATGTACAATAATTTATACTTATGGATAGCTGATTTGTTGGTGATTAACAAGTGATGACAGAGTTGGCACAATGGTTGCAGCACGGCAGGGTCTTTGCTTCGATCCACAGCTAGTAATATTCCCTGAACGCGTTGCTGTTCGTTTAACATTTCTATGCACTGATGCAGAATATCAGCTTGTTCTTGATCTATCATGCTAATGTTTGATTCTGAATCTGAGTCATCCGCTTGTTCTATGTTCTCTTCCACAACCAGAGGTATTATCGTTGAACTCATGGATGCAAGAACTTGCAAATAATTAATTAAGACTTCTTTAGATTTGCATGTAACTGTAACAAACAAAAACCAAATGACTTCGTCAGAGTGTGTTCTTTGACCTCTCTAATTGATATTCCATTTTACATACTTACAAAATCGATTTGTTTCCAAAGATAAAATGGAATAAAGCAAGCTTATTGTGGGTTCTATTTCGATTCTATTGATGCATTCGATTAATTGAGTATATGGAAATTCTTCGAATTCAGACAGTGATGGAATGACAAACATTCTAATTGGATCTGACATTCTAGGAAACAGTATACTTTTACAAAATTCTTGCAAAACAAGCATAGAAAAGCCGTCATCCTGTTTTACAAAAGAAATTAAATCTAACGGTCGTTTTATCATGTCCATTAAACATTTTGAAATGGGAGTTGGTGCCACAGATGTTGGTTCCAGCATAGGTGGAACTTTGCTATCTATCAATTTTCTTAGTTGATCAAAATATTTATGTTTTATCAAGTAAGTAAAGATGTTTTCTAAATGTTTGTAACTATTCTCGCGTAGAATTTTTTCTGTATCTTCTCGATTTGTAAATGTTTCTAACGCTCTCAGTGGTATAGCCAGAGAGTAAGCTCCACTTGTTAAGGCTTCAGAATTGTGTTGCATACACATACGTAGAACCCATCTGTAAAAATGATATATTCCATCTATATTATCAAATAAAAAATAGAAGTACATTTACATTATTGTCCCTGAAATTTACCTTAGTCTCCATAACCATTTGGAAGAGGTCACAGATTTTTGTTTAATTTCTTGTTGATGCTTTAGAAAATGTTGTAGTATCCAAACTAGTCTGCTAGCATCCAAATTATGATCATAAAAGTATAATAATTTTCGAAAATATAGTGCTAACTCATCTAAATTGAGATTTTTACGTCCACTTCTTTGTTGTTCTTCATCGAACTCTTTCCTCTTAGCTATTTTATTATGCTTTCTTATAATAAATCCACGAGCAAGTGCTTGAATTTTCAATGCAGCATTATGTCTTTTACGCTGTTGTTCTCTTTTTAAACGTTCTAATTGCGCATGCTGTAATAAAACAGACACCTCGTCTGTTCTGCTTGCGCCAGCTAAGTTTTGTTGAGGTTTACGTCTATAATCACCTTCGAAGCAATACATGATGTATCGACTTCTCTTTACTAACATCCCTTTTTCCTCTATAAGCAGTATTTTAATAACAATTAATTATATGTATTTTATACTTTAATGAGCGCGTTTGAGGATAAATAATATTTTGGAGTACGTTACCACGCAGGAGGACCAATGTTGATGGTTTTAACCGATGGTTTCCGTCTTGTTAATATTTCTTAAATATAAATATTTGGCAAAAAAGTGTCATGTCTTAAAAACTACGAAATTTGGTAAATATTTTACCCCTTATCCCCACATTTTTCCGAATACTCAACGTGACTCTAAAATGAATGGCATCGCTGATTTTGCTAAAATCTTTAATTTACTTTTGCGTGCAGTGAAATTTTTTTTTCTTTACAAGGTTAACATCTATGATAACTTCTACGTCTCTTGATTTATAATTCGATACGATTTATGTCGACGATTAAATTACGGGCATACTTTCGAAAATTCGTATATTTCGATACTATGTTAGCAAAAAAACAACTAGCTATTAACACCAGACCGTACGTATACGTCTAGTCATCAAGTGTTCGCCATATTTTATTTCACAGTCAAATTGAAGCACATAATGCGCCTGCGTATATGTATATGCAATATTTAATTTTAACACCGTATTTCTATAATAATTTGTCTGTTCGAATATGCAATAATAATTTATTATAATGAACGTAATATAGAACGTATGATAGAAGAATCACATTTTTATGAACATTTTTTCAATTTGATTTATTTTAAAATACAAAAATATCATCATTGTTACTTTCGTTACATTCACTACTATATTTTTTAAATTTATACAAAGATATGATGCAACTTAGGGGAGAAATACGACAATATTCGTCACAAAAAATGTGGCATTTTATAAAAACCGCTAAAACGGATCAAATAAGTAAATTGTTTCGATTGGTATAAATTATTTGAAAATAATGATGTAAACTGGGATTGGTTATAACTTGATAATAATTAGTCATTATAATGATAATAATTTACAATTTCCTTAATAATTTATTTATAGAGGAGAATAACTATTGAGTTTTATTAAAATAAGACTTTTTACATAGAATTTTATTAAACTTTTATTGAAAATAAACAAAAAAGAAATAATGAAAATATATAGCTGATTTAAGAACGCGTTCTTTGATCTGTTGTGTAAAATTAAATCAAGAATGGCCGGGAAGATGGCAGCGGCAGAGTTAAAACATGATAATGTTTCGTCTTATGAAACTGTGAAGAGAAATGTATCGACAGTGACATTACACAGGGAATTAGAATATTATCGATTCAGATTATTGGACTTACTTTACTATTTGACTTCTGTTAGTTTTTTTTTCATGGACATAGCAACAGGTGAATGAAGAACGAAAGTGCACTTACTTGCCTTTGTTTTAATGAAAAATGATGAAGTTTATAAAAGAATATGTGTTAATAAGTATAAAGAATGATCAATAAATCAATGTACATTCAGTATATTCTATGTACGACATGGAATGTAAAAATTTCTACTATTCTCTATACATTGTTTATACTTATGTACTTTTCTTGTAATATGATGACAGCTATAATAACGTAATAGTTACGCCGACAATTTTATGTATTCTCTTCTATCTTTTATTTACATTTAATGTCTTATGACGAATATAATATTGATTAAACATTTTTTCTTTCACTTTAATTAAAATTGTACAAAGACAAAGCATTGTTTAACTTTCACCTGAATAATAAACCTAGATAACAACATCACAGAATCAAGTTTTTTAAAATAATAAAAAATAATGTGTATGTTTGATATATGTATTTAAGGAACCAAAAATAAGTTACTATGAAATTAATTTTTGTTATAGATAGTATTGTATTTGTGGAATACTTCTTGCAAGGCCAGTTTATTTGGGGATGCTTTGCTTTGAGTTTTACAATACTACCCGCAGGTGTTATTCAAATGTTTAGTTTGAGATGGTATCACAGTGATGGTTCTATTAAAAGTATACACTGGGCATTACATTTTTTGTTTTTAGGAGTATTACACAGGTATTATTTCAGACTTATTTCTACTAATTTATAATTACTTTTTGTTCACTTCTTTTAAGAGGAAGAATTATTTTATTTCTAGGTATTTAATTTTACTTTATGCTACGATATATTCGTTAAGGAGCAAACGATTTGTGAAGGATAAAAATTGGGTATATAGACAAGAAAGTGACATATGCATGCTACACTTATTTGAGTCTTTTATGGGGGCTGCACCACAATTAATATTGCAACTATATGTCATGGCAGTATTACATCGTATGCCACTATGCACAAGTAAGGACAATTAACTTGGCTATTTCAATTATAAAATTCTAAGGTTGTTATCTCTGTGGTAGAAATCATTATTGCTTAAGTTTCATTAATAAGCATTAAATGCAACTATGTATCACATTCGTATTTTCATCACTATCACTAAATACTTTCATGTATTAAATAGGTAAATAGGAAAAAAGTTTAAAGTCATTTTCGTAAACCTTATTAATTTTATCAAGCAGTGACCTAGGAACATTTTGCATGTATTCTTTAACTAAAGTAGTAGTTGTGACTCCACGAGGATTTATATTTTTCAAATCATTTTTCTCATACAGATATTGATTTAAACCTAACTCTTGTATTAAGAATTTTTGATCTCTATCAAAAGTATCAAATTTTAAAATGTAGTTGTACTTGATCAGACAGGGTTCACATGTATCAATAAATGGTGCCCAATGTTCGTCAAAATACTTTTCTTCTACTATAAATTGGAGAAATTCTGTAAATGTTGGCTCAAGTTGTGTTTCATTTGGCTTTCTGTATCTGTGATATTTATGTGCAATATGACGTCCAAATCTTTTATAATAATAATCTCTTCCTTCAATGTGTTCTAATTTGTCTCGATATGCAGATACAAGACGTTCAAATGGATGTCTCACAATTAGAAATTTTCTGGTTTTATTCAAGTTCTGTAATAAAAATAATATTGAGAAGTATTCCTACAGTAGAAATATTTATTATATTTAATAATATTTGTATAACACATACTTGATATGCCCTCTTGATATCTCGATCACGTGGAAATGCTTTTCTAACAATGGTATTGATCTGTAACACATTTCTGCGAATTAGTTCCATAGCTGTCTCTGTTAATACACCTCCAAGTGTTGCAAAATGTTTCATCCAAGTAGAACTTGCTGCCTTATAAATAGGACACCATGATATCCCATGTTCTCTACAAAATATTAAATTTGAATAAACATGTATTGTATGGAATAAATAATAGATTATTCTATACTTACGTATCAATAATCATATTGGACAGTACATTATCTAAATTTGAATCAGTTCTAGTTATAGCTTGACAATACTGTTCTAATTCACTTTTTCTATTATTTAATTGAGTCCTTATATCTACCATTTCTTCTGCTGATAGAGCAGTTACAATAGATTTATTATTAATTAAATTGCTATATTTATGTTCATTGTTAATATAATTTATAATTTTCAAGTGTTTACCCGTGCGTAAACACGAATTGCAGAGGAAACTTAATAAAAATATAAATGACATAAATATTATAATAAATATCATAACTAATTTTAATAACATAAACTGCCTCTGTAAAGAAAATTTCCAATATAAAAATATTCTACTATTTGAAATAAACTGAAGAATACTTACTTGTAATCCTGAGAACATGTTCATTCTATTAGCACTTTGTTCTTAACAATTACAAACGTGTTACAGTTCTTGTATTTATAAATTTTCCTCATATACATAGAGCCTTTAATAACAGAATCATAATACTTTTGCCATAATATAAGAAAAAACTGAAATTGAAGAGCTCCATAGTTTTACTTCCTTTGATCCGCCCCCTATAGATAACAAAGACAAGAGCAAAGATATCATTGACGCTTCTCTAACTTATTTTAGAATACATCAAGCTTTCAACTAACATTCTTTTTGAAAAGCATGCGGTGCTATAACTTTAAAAATAATGTTCTCTTGCCTGAGTAGGGTGGGTGTTTCAAGAGCTAAAAATAAAATGGCTTCCACTGACACTGTCACTTATCAGAGAACTGGAAGTTCAAATCTTTGATGCCCATAATTCTGGCATGATATTTATAAGAATTTAAATGGTTACAAAAATGAGAATTATATTTTTAAATGAACAATCGAACAGGTCTGTCTGCCACGGTATCCCTTTGCTCTCTGAGCTGGGCTATAGGTACATACACGAAAGCAATGCACAAGATAAACCCTGGTCATAACGAGACCACATGGGTTGTATTAACTCTTCAAGGTCTTTGGCGTGCTGGAATGCTAATATCTAGGATAGCAGTGTTGGTTTTAACGGCCCTCTGTCTAAGAGAATGGTCTCTGCTGTTTCTTGGTAAGAATACCACTGTAGTACCGTTAAGTAGATGTATACAGTCACACAATGTCTATCATTCTTTCAATGTTACAGGTTTACATTGGCTGTCCATGACCATTTGGGTGATTCTCCAAAACACAGAGTTTTGCCCGACCGTGTGGGAAGAACGTATTTATAATTGTATCATAGGATTTATTTATTGTTTCGACTTTTTCAATTTGCGTGTAGGCAAATCTCGGTACAGAGTACTTGTCTTTTATTCCATCATCGTGACAGAGAACATAACGTTCTTAATCGTGTACGTATTGTGCTTTAAAGATTCGATAAAAATTGAAGAGATAGCGGTAATAACGAGTTTGATAATAGGAGGGATGATGATCGGCTTGTCGAGTATGTTAGTTTATTACGGAATATTTCACCCGTCGAAATTTGGAGACGCATCTGAGTACAACGACGAGAAGAAGTCCGAGATCGTAACCAACAAAGCCGTCACTCCTAGATCTTTCAAGCAGTCTTATCCTAACTCGTTCGCATCGCCGTCTCGCTCGATCGATCACTCTCAAGTGGTGACTTCGGAAGAATCCACAACGGACAAGCAATTTTTATTAACGAACATCGTGCAGAACTCCGAATGCGCGGAGAATGGCGTCACGAACCAAAGCTGCACATCCGAGAACGAATCGCAGACTGCCGTTCGCGTTGTGTCCGAGTGCGAGTCGGCGCACAACAAATTTTTAAAGGACGAGAACGCTTCATCGAAGAATGCCTTCCCCGCGCCGGACGCTCGCGAATATTTGGAAATCCAAGAAGACTGCAACGACGAGAAAGACATTCATCGTCAAAAACGCAGAGGAATTTGTCTACCAACGACGCACGGTTTAGACATAGATAAAGAGGTTCCTAAAGACTCAGACTCCTGTCAGAAGAGACGCGCAATTTGTTTCTCCACTCAACTCATCCTCGAGATGGAGGACAACTCCGAGGAGAAGACAGACAGACAAACCGATGCCAACGACGAATTAAAAGAACGTTCTCTCGCCGACATCTGCGACGATCTGACCAGTATTACCGTATTGAGAGATAGACTGAAAACTCCTACAATGTTCAACAACTGTGAGAAAATTTCTGAGACCGAGAAACTGACGAAGGAGCTGCAGCAAAGAGACGAGACGATGAGCTGCGTGACTTCTATACACGATTATGAGAACGTTTGTCCCCTAGGCGTAGCCAGGCCTCCCTGGTGCATTCGCAGCTGGAAAGGGTACACGGACATAGAAACTTATATTCATGACGATAGCGTAGTCAGAGACCGACGGAGAGACACCCTGACGAGCACCACAACTGGTACCACTTACAGCTCCGAGTTCTCTGACACTACCTGTGCCAGTTCGCTGCTGAGAGGAATTCTGAAGCAGGACGACTATCTGGACACGCTCACGTATGACCTGATAGATCCTCGAGAGCCAAAATATAGTGAGGACATTTCTGCCAAACGGGACCTGGAGGAACAGAATTCCATGCTTTATATCGCAAAGCCAGTGGTGATAGACGAGAAGGGTGGAATGTTCGCATTGGATACTATTTTGGAGGAGCACGATGAGATTTCCAACGACGAGAAATTCGAGTACGAACGACCTGGCTGTGACTCGGTGAGCACTCTGGTGAACACCATAGATCAAATCAGGAAGTATACAGCTGAGAACTCCCCGAGACACGTGTACCACACCACGGGTACACAGTGGGAGGATTTGGACCCGAAGAGTTTGATCAAGAAGGCACAGCTGACCAGGGCGTTGTTTAAGAATGATCTGAAGGACCCTGCTGCTTGTAATTACATCAACCGGTTGGACGAGTCGGAGGCCATAGTCCGAGGGAAGTGTGAAATAGATACGATTAAGGATCTAGTGAGATACTGTACGATAGAGTCAATTAGGAAGACGCCGTTGATAGACGCGATACTGTCCGACTCGCCGATTCTGGGGAACAAAGCGAAACTGCAGAAGCAAGTTTCTATTGCGTATAGGAAAGAGGACGACTCGAAGGAAAATGATCTGTACGTCGAGATGAATCCTTTGGTACCTGTTGAAAACGTTAAGGTTGTATATAATAATTTATCTGAGCCTGTATCCTGTAATGTTGCCAAGCCCGATGTTAAATCTGACGTGCCAATTTCCACGCAGACGAAGAACGACTCGGAGAAGCTAGAAAGTGACAAGCGTAGAAAAGCGATCAATTTTCCTAAACGAAAGTTCTCTCTGTTGAAGGAGAAGTTTGAGTCCAAGTCGCAGCTGGTTTACGTTGTCACGCCGAACAACGGTATTAAAATTGAACCATCACCCGACTCGGAGAAGAAGGTTTCCGTGATCTTGAAGAAGACCGATTGTACGAGGCACGATAAAGAAAATTTAGCTCCTGTCGCCAGGGTCAGCCACGCTAAACACGCTTCCGACGGATCGGTGAACGGGGGAAGTTCTGAATTGATCTACGAGAACGACGAGTCTTTGTGCAATACTGACTTAAATTTAAAAGAGAGGAGGCATATATTTCTGGAGCAGGTTCTGTCGCCACCGAAACTTCTGACATGGAACAAAAGGAAGTCCCTTGGCGGGTCCACCGTGAAGAAGTTCTGAGGATTAGAATATATGTTTCATAGGGTAAAACTTTTATACAAAAGTGATATGTAGTTTTACTTTATAAAGTTTATATTTTTTTACTCGGTTTCACTAGCTTTCGAAATGATGTACATTTAGTTTCAGAATGCGATGAAAAATTTTAACGTGTATAAATTGATTTTATACGAAGGCAGTTTAATTGGAAGTACAGGATGTCTGACGACTAGTGTAGGTCCAATGGGTAGCTGACGTGATTCTGAATAAGTTTTCCCTTTGCAGAAATGGGGTGCAAAGCTTCGTTTTTGAATAATTAAGGAAAAACTTCAGAGCGCGAGGATTAAGCATGCGCAGACGCGGGAGCGTCAGCCTACTGGCTGCGCGCGCATAATCCTCGCGCTCTGATTGGTCCATGTCTTCCGTCTTAATAATTCAAAAACGAAGCTTTAAATCTCATTTTTGCAAAGGGAAATTTTATTCAAAATCACATCAACTACGCTTCATTAAACTTATATTAGTTGTGAACCCTGTATAGTACTATGTAGGAAACAAGGAAAGGAGATAACGCTTTCTTTTATTAAGTTTTATTACGTATGTAAATCAATTGCATCTCATTGCCAAGTATGATATTACGCTATATTATATAATATTGTAAATCTGCAATAATTATACATACGAAAAATTATTTTTATATACAGCAATGTTATATATAATAAAAGACTTTTTACATAATATTGTTTTCTGAAATGGCACCGGAGAACATTGCACGTCTTCGTTACATATAGGGAAATTGCAACGGGGTAAATAAATCTGTATTTAAAAGTACGGCAATAAAAAAAATAGTGCTATTTTTAATAGTAAAGTGACATTTAACATATATTTGTTTAAAACTTTTTGAGACTCTGCTACGCTATAAAATGTATAGTTCATTATCGTTTACATGATTCTTAGTTACATCTTATCCAACGCGTGGTAATCCAACGCGTAGTAATGCAACGTGCGGTAATGCAACGCGTGGTAATCCTACGCGTAGTAATCCAATGCGCAGTAATCCAACGCGTACTAATACAGCGTGTGGATATCCAACGCGTAGTAATCCAACGCATGGATATTCGACGCGTAGTAGTTCAACGCGTAATAATCCTCGCGCTCTGATTGGTCCATGTCTTCCGTCTTAATAATTCAAAAACGAAGCTTTAAATCTCATTTTTGCAAAGGGAAATTTTATTCAAAATCACATCAACTACGCTTCATTAAACTTATATTAGTTGTGAACCCTGTATAGTACTATGTAGGAAACAAGGAAAGGAGATAACGCTTTCTTTTATTAAGTTTTATTACGTATGTAAATCAATTGCATCTCATTGCCAAGTATGATATTACGCTATATTATATAATATTGTAAATCTGCAATAATTATACATACGAAAAATTATTTTTATATACAGCAATGTTATATATAATAAAAGACTTTTTACATAATATTGTTTTCTGAAATGGCACCGGAGAACATTGCACGTCTTCGTTACATATAGGGAAATTGCAACGGGGTAAATAAATCTGTATTTAAAAGTACGGCAATAAAAAAAATAGTGCTATTTTTAATAGTAAAGTGACATTTAACATATATTTGTTTAAAACTTTTTGAGACTCTGCTACGCTATAAAATGTATAGTTCATTATCGTTTACATGATTCTTAGTTACATCTTCAACTAAATTTCTTATTAAAAGTGATTGTATCATGCAACGTGTTAACGATGCAGGGCGAAAATTATCGCTACGTATAATAATTTAGTTAGGAAGGTTAAAAAAACGAGAATGAATGAAATTAAAAAACTAATCAGTCTTTTGCGTTGAACTTTTTTCCAACCGCATGATATGTACTGTAATCGGCAGTTAAGGAAATCTTATCAAAGCACTTTATACGTGCTGAACACTGTGTTTGACAGGTCTTGAACTTCGTAAGTTTAAGTTAACCTTACGTAAGAGAACGAAAAAGAAAGAGGACTTTTAAATACTTTTACAGACGAACTGCAATTCTATATGATTATTCCGATGCAGAGTGGTTCGTTTTCAAATTAACGTACTCTGCCCGTTACTTACGTTGCCGTCATACTTCTTTATCCACTGGATGTGACAAATAAGTGGCAAGCTACGCAAGTTATTGCATATACGCGTTCCGAGGGAATTTTTGCGTAATCCTTGAGCAACTTGATGAAGAGTCTTGCTTTTCGTTTCTGGGATAAGTAGAAAAACGTAAACTATAGTGATGAGGCACATAAAGCTATAAAACAGATACGATCCAGCTAACGTCAACGATTCTGAAAGAACAATTACACAGATTGAGAACCTTTATATTGCAGGAAGAGGAATTTTGAAACTTACTGGCCATCGCGCTAACTGACTCTGTAGCAATAATGTACGTTATCCATATCACGATGGAAATGAAACTAATACACCTTCCTCGAACCGCTGCAGGGAAAACTTCTGTGAGATTCAATAGAGGCACTGGACCAAGTCCTAACGCGTATGCTGCTTCATAAACGAGCAGCGTTATCACCGCTAAAATACGCAAACCACCGGTCAAACCTTCGGATACAATAATATTCTGTGTCTGCAAAATAGATAACATTACATCAAGTCTCATGAAGAGGCTCATATTTGCAAGAATAAAGAATTAGAATAAAAGTTGTACTTCGCAGGATGCTTTAATTTGTGTCCATGTCTCTGGACTGGGAGCAATAACCGCTAATGGAGTTGGCAGTAAAGGAAACGGTGGTGGAGATCCAGTAGGTAAAACATTTTGGATTTTAACGTCCTCGCTATGGTGATTCTTGCAATGAGTATTTACAATATCTAAATTATCGTCGCCTCTATCTATCGTGGCGAGTAAGGATAACAATGATATCGTTGTCATGCAAATAGTTGCAGACGTAATCAAAGCTGTTCGACGTCCGCATCTTTCTATGATGACCAGACACAACATCGTACTGAATACCTTGACTATGCCAAGAGATATTAAAGCCGTAACTTCTGCAATGTCTGAAAAAACGAAAAATGTAGAGAAGTACTTTTGAAAGGAGACATTTTGAAACTTACTGGAACAAATGCCTAACAGTGCGAACAATCTTGGGGCGTAATATAACACTTGTCGTTTACCGGTACTTTGTTGCAATATCAACAAGAAAGCCATAATTGTCAGAGTCGTGAAAACCGTGTTCCAAGCACTCTTGGATGATGTTTTCGAAACGTTCGCCATTCTTTTGTATAGCAAGAAGGGTGGAGATCGTTGGAGAAATATGATGGTGATGATGCACGCGGCCAGGGCGGGAACGGCCGTTATACCGATGGAAAATCGCCATTGGTAATCTATGTTTTTAACGGCAGCAGCAATGACGGAAATTAAAAATCCGGTAGCTATACCCAGTTGATATAACATTATGTTATATCCACGCTTATTAGAATCAGATACTTCTGCCATGTATATGCAGTGAGCTACAGCTGAAACAGATCCTGAATATCCGCAAATGGTCCGTGCAATAAGTAGCAAAATATAATGATTTGCCAATGCTGATAATGTTGCACCAAAAGTGAGGAAGATCAACATAGATATCATAGTCCATCGTCGACCAAAGGAATCGATTAAAAAACCTGCCAATACAACATTGTTAGTACAAAAATTCTTTTTATGACATTAAATACTTTTTTGTTTACACGTACCACCAGTTAAACCACCCATAAGAGCTCCACTGAACCAAATACTTATTACAAAATCTTTCTCAAAGCAATTCAAGTTGAATTCGTGTTTGATCAAAGGGGCTATAGGTTTTGCTATGCCCATATCACATCCAAAGGCAATACCTGCCAAAATTGCAACCGTAGAAACGAACACATTTTGATTGCCTGATGTTAACGGTGTCAAATTGTCGGTCTGTTTTGGAAGCGGTTTTCTCAGATTCTTTGTGGGCAGACATTGATAATTTTCATTTGGTACTTTACTTATAGATGTTTCAACAGTTTTGTTTGCACTGTTTAATAATATTGCTGTATCTTCTTCGTCTGACATGTTTCTTTAATAGAATAGTCAGTTCAAATAATTCACATTAAAGCTACTGATCCTGAAAAGTTACCAATATATAGAATACAAGATGTACTAAGAAAGTTAATTACAATATAAATTTTCATACAAGTGACAATTTTGAAGAACTTTATTTTGACTATGGATTGTCAGAAAAAACACTGTTTCGTGCATTTCGGTGATCATATTGTTTCGTGCGAAATGATCTAAATACGAAACTTACCGATTAGACGAAATAGGAGTACAAAAACGATCACTGTTTACTTTTGTCGATTTGACATTTGCGGTTCGGATTTGTAGATATAGGAATTGACAGTTCTCATGTCATTTACGCCCGTAACGACATCTTACAAAGATTCAGAAACAAGAGGATGCAACTGTGCGCAAAAGCAACGCAAAGCTACACAGCCTCACTTTCCCTTTCGGAATTAGACCGTATAGAAACAACGGTAAATATAAATAGGCGTATATGATTAAAGGAAATGCCGATGTACTCGTTCATTTTCAAGTTGAAAGTCGCAATGTTTAAAAAATCAAATTAAAAATCAATTCATGGTAAAATCCGCGTACTTTCGAGCGGTTCGAGTTCTCGAATTTTCTCGTAGATGTCGCGGCTTGTATCTTTTCGCGTGGCTCCGCCCTTGGAGTGCATCGCGCTGATCGCGCGCTGCATCACCAATATCAGTAGTTAGTCGGCTATCGGACTTGAGTCGTTGAAGGCATCTAAAAGAAAAATCGAATGTCTTCTTTCGGTGGTTACACAGTCGCCAGACATTGCCGTACGTGTACTTTATCAATGAATAATTCAACTGCTCGTCGCGTGCTGAGAACCACTGACATTTCGTATAATTCATGCCAAGGCGGAGACGAGCGCTCCGTAGATGTGTGATGTGGTTCAATTCGAAGCCTTCCTCGATCGTTGCTCGGGGATATCTAGAGATCATACGTGAAATCTATGTCGGCGGTAGCAGTGGTGGGGTAAACGACTTATTAACATCGCAAGTATCGCGAAAACGATTGTACAACGGGAGTGCCGGTGCACGAGTGTTTAGTGATCAATGAACTCTGCGGTGCTGTATATTGGGGCGTGCTGCCAGTGGTACTTATTAAGCCGGCAGATGTATGTAAAAACAGAAATTATTATTCTCAAGTATTTCTTTCGCGATACAGTTTGATTGATTTCTTTATCCGGGAGGTGCAGTTTTAAGCCCCACCTTGCTGTCGATCTCGCGTTCATTTCCGATGCTTAAGATGCTTTCAGGAGCATTCAAATCTTTCATGTTTTTTTTAAAGTAATCTCCGCATCTATCGGAGGTATTTAGGTCGGTATTTTGTTATAAAAAATTTAGTCGCCTAACGTGGGTGATAAATTGAGATTTTTTTTGACGCTGTTACGTATTCGAATTTCAAGATCGTTCGTTAATCGACGAATCAACACTTTCAACCCTTTCGACCGCAGCCAATCTCTTAACGTATTCCATTAGTGCTGTTCGATTAGTAGTGTAATCGGTATAATCATGGTCTTGACGTAACATCGTCGACTCTTCTCGTTCAGATACTCTAAGACTGGATCATCTAATGATAAATAACGCTTTCCATATAATATAATATCATTATGAATGATGTAAACAAACGTGAGTTCTCGTTGTACGGTATAACAAAGAATCTTATTTAATTATTTTACGTGCGGTTCCTGCTATTAATTTATTTTTAATGCGTGCTCGTCTTGTTAAATTTTTCGTGATTTTCAAACAAATTTTTCAGGGACGAAAATATTTTGTGATACATATTCAGAATGTGACAAACTGTAGCCTTATAAGCAAAGAAACATTGTTTGATCCACTTTTTCTAAATATGGGATGCAAAGAGTATTGTGTAGATGTAGGTGTGTTTAATATTTTGTTGCAGATGACAACATAATAGAGAATTATAAATTAAATTTCCCATAAGGAAATAACTAGAGGTGGTCAAGTAAAGATGAACGATATAGAAAGCATAAGCATGAAAGGCAGCGGTGGATCTAAGATGCCTCATAGTCATTCGACTCCGGCAGGTGTAGATGGAGGTAGTAGAACTCCTCCTACGACACCTAGAAAAGCTGGAAAGATGCTTGCTGTTCGTGTGCAAATGTTGGATGATACAATTACAATGTTTCAAGTTCAGGTAACATTTATTTATAATTAGCAAAAATATAAACAATTTATCAAACATTATTAGTAGAAGTATCATATGTATTAAACAATGCAACTATACACAAAACTATGAAAATACTTTAAAAGGTATAGACATAAATTGTTGTTTGTCAATGTATCCTTGGTACATTGAAAAATCATTTACTATATATTTTCTATGCATATAACACTCTTAAATGAACTATTGGAGCATATAATTGGTTATACCTTGCTGCACGAAGTACATATATTGATGTATTGATTATTCATAAAACTTTACTTGAAGCATCTAAAACCTATTTCCTCTTATGTTATAAAGACTACTTAATAAGTAGAAGTTGTACATCATGAACATAATTCATAAGAAGATAAATTTTGCATTTAATTAAACAATAAGTAGATTAACATCATTTTTTTGTTTTTAACTTTTAGGCAAAAGCATTGGGCAGAGTATTATTTGATCAGGTTTGCAAGCAGTTACATCTTTTAGAAGCCGATTATTTTGGTCTCGAGTACCAGGAACCAAACGGAACAAAAGTGAGGAAACAAATGCTTAAAGCATTTTGATAGAGTATTGATACTTATGAATATTATTTCCTTGCAGTATTGGTTAGATTTAGAAAAGCCCGTTTGTAGACAAGTGGGATTGTCACTGATCGACCCACTGTTGAGATTTTGTGTTAAATTTTATACACCTGATCCTGCACAATTGGAGGAGGAGTTCACAAGATATTTATTTTGCCTTCAAATCAAACGAGACTTAGCTCAAGGTTTATTACAGTGCAATGATAATACAGCAGCTTTGATGGCCAGTTATATTGTTCAAGGTAACATTTGTTTGTTTAAATACAACTAGAATACATTGTTGAACGATAAACGGTATTCGTTTAGCCGAATGTGGAGATTACGTGTTAGAGGATTATCCAGATCACACATATTTGTCGACGTACAAATTTGTGCCTCATCAAGATCAAGAATTGGAACGTCGCATCATGGAGAATCATAAGAAACACGCGTAAGACGATATTCTTATAATTCTACTTGCAACAAAATTCCTATAAGACGCATTGAACTATTTCTTTTAAACAGCGGTCAATCTCCGGCGGAGGCAGACTTGAATTTGCTAGAAACGGCACGTCGTTGCGAGTTGTACGGAATGAAAATGCATCCAGCAAAAGTATGTATGCTAAATGTAAACCCTCTTCTGTGTATACAAGAATGATTTTATTCAAGGATCACGAAAATGTACCTCTGAACTTGGCGGTGGCGCACATGGGGATCGTAGTCTTTCAAAATTACACCAAGATAAACACGTTCAGTTGGGCGAAAATCAGGAAAATCAGTTTTAAGAGGAAACGATTTCTGATCAAACTTCATCCGGAGGGTTACGTGAGTAGATTCCGCTGAAACCACTGCGATAGAATAGGGATCTACTTTCTCTATGATTATAGGGTTATTACAAAGACACGGTGGAGTTCTTTTTCGAGGGACGTAACGAATGTAAAAATTTCTGGAAGAAGTGCGTGGAGAACCATGGATTCTTCCGTTGCTCCGTGGTGAAACGAGTGGTACGACAGAAAACTCGAGTCCTCAGCCGCGGCTCGTCGTTCAGGTACGTGGTTTAGATTCAATGTTCTTCAGAATATCCTTGTATTAATGAGGTCTTTTGGTACAAACAGGTATAGCGGCAAGACTCAGAAGCAAATCGTCGAGTTCGTGCGAGACAATTACGTGAAGAGGCAGACGTTTCAAAGGTAGGTTCGATTACCGGGGTATGATGTTTAATGATTGGCAAAAGAGAACAATATTCTTGGATATATCAGTATTGCCGTAGATAGTGCATGCATATCGTTATGTACTGTCCCCCCCTTTTAATGCTGGTTTTACACCATTGAGACTGTATATTTTAATTAACAAGCGCACTGATCTTGCGTGGGTAAGACGGGAGGTGGCACGGTCTTGCTTTTGCCGGGACATTAATTGGTATTTATCATGTTTATCGTTGCTCTTCCGTAGAATGAAATGTTTACTCTGTTCGTTTTGTACTTACGTGTGTCAGTGTTGCCTGCTCGGACAGGGGTGGCGGGGAGTCAGGCTCACCATCAGGCACGATAACCCGAATGATCAATGTACCCTCTTTTTGATAGTGTGATCACTAATTCTCGTCGTTGTAACACCTGATAATACACCGCAAAGTACTTCACTGTCCCGACAGTTTACCAACGAGATTGTCCATAGCAGTAGTCTGCTCTACAATAGAGACATAGATTACTTTTCTTTATACTCCTTGTACATAAGTTAACAGGTGTAATACACGATCTGTGTAACTCTCGGTCGGGTTAGTAATGCGTCGATTAGACAAGCGAATATGGGTGAAACGAGCATGCGGATTCGTGTACTAGTTCGCAGCGATAGTTTACCGGGAATAAAAAGTGTATATGTTCTTCACGGCAAAAGATAAGTTTACACGCTTTTCTTTCGCCAGGAAGATACGGTTTTCGAGAATTTATCGTTTTGAGGGCATAAGCGCGTGAAAAGAGAGAGAGAGAGCATACCCTTGAAACGATAACGGTCGAGTAGCGCAAACTAGGCTCCCGTGAAGGGACGGTAAGATGCGAAGGAAAAAGAAGCACATAAGTTAGTTCTGGACAGGCTTGGCATTTGGTAGCCTAAGTCTGATGCTGAACTTGACTCTCTCTTGCTCGCAGGTCCAATTCGTTCCGGCAGACTAGCAGTGGTAGGGCATTGCAGGGCTTGGAGGGGGGAGGTTATCGTGGGGCCACTCCAAGCAGCTCCCTTATGGGCAGCTCCAGCATCTCTGCCCACCCCCTCCTGCCCCTCGGCGATCCTGGTATGTACCATGACCGACACCAACCTCCACGAGAAACGCTTTCTTCGCCTCCGTTTAATTTTCTTCTCTTTTATCTTTTCATATTTCAATTTTCCTTTCGAACAATTCTTCCATGGTTTCCATTACTTTTCTTCTCTTCTGTTCATCTTTCAATCGTTACTTACTTTTTCTTTTTCTTTCTCTGACCCTGTTTTTCCGTTCTCCGAGTATCGTACAAAGTATCGTAATGGTAGATCAAGTAGAGTTGGCGTATTACAAATTAGAACGCTTCTAAACCGGAGTTCAGCTTGTGTAAGCGTGACAAAGATCCGCGAGTGGTAAACTCGGAGATCTTTGGACGAGAAAGACACGAATATAATATACAGATAGGTAATTAGATAAATGTATAAGTAGAGGAAGATAGTGAGAGAGAGAAAGAAATAAGTAAGATCGTTGATGAGAAAATTGAAAAAACGAATGGATCTTTCAGCACTGGAAACCCCAGCTCTGTCTCTATCATGCGGCTCGATGACACTGGATTCTCCGACGACTGTGACGAGTGTCTCGATGGGAGGGACGATTCACCGTCGCGAAGACACAGCTACGTCGTTTCGGACACTTACGTCCATCGACGTCCATTCCCCGGCCACACCCAGCCAGGTCCCAGCACCGCGGCAGATGCTTGTTACCAGCCAGCAACGGATTTCATCAGCAGGTCGTATCAGCCCCTCTAACAGCAGTCCTCCCGAATTTCCCCCACCGCGACCCATGCCCAGACATCCCTGGCAGCGATCGGCCAGTTGCCGCGAACTGTACGCTTCTAGCTTCGAGGATTCAGGGAAAGCGCGATCAAAGGACGAGAAAGCTTCCGGCGAAGCGAATTCCTTCGAACCTTTCTGTTTGCCTTCTCAAGGCGAGCTAGAGAATCCCGTGACGCGGTACGGTGAGGAGAGCAACCGATCGTATAGCGCGGCCAGTTCGAAATTGCCGTCGCTCGATCACGACTCGGTGCCCGACAGGGTGTACAGTAGCTCCTATCCGGGAACGTCGTCGCTCTCCACCGAGTCCGGCCACGAGGAGTCTGGCCCGGCGGGAGATCTATCGCACGACGATCTCTCGCACGATTCGTACGAGCTTCTGGAACGCGAGCACGAATTTGAGTATCCGGAGTCGTACTCGAGCCCTCGCGACGACGACGAGGAGGAGAACGAGCCGATATCGGACCGTAGCGACGAAGGGATCGAGCACGAGATGTTCCAAATGGACTCCGAGACCGATTCCTTCGTGAAGCACAGGTCGATCAAGTCGTCGGACAAGCAACACTTCAAATCCGTGCTCGTCGACCTGAAGAATGCCAGGACAAAGTCTATCGATCGGTACTCGGCAGTTACCGGTCCCAATAAATCCGTAGACGGTGATTACGTGACCGTAGAATCTAGGATACAACGATCTAGCACGCAGATCGAGCGAAAATTCGAGACGCGACACGCCAATTCCGTAGAACAGCCGCAACAGCAACAAAGTAAATTCCTTCCTCTTCCGCATCAGGATTCCGCGAAGAAAGACCCGGTCGTGTTGCAAGTGCAGAAACAAAAGATGTCCGTGCTTAACGAGCTGAAAAATTTCAAGCCCAAGTACAAAATCACTCACGTGGATTCCGAGGTGTTGAGGGACGAGGGTATCATGCGTCCAAAGTCTCGGATCGACGACGATCTGAGCC